TGGTGGGCAGGTGTTCGGGGCGCTGCACCCCCCGCCTCTCCCTGGCTGCTAAGGAAATGGAGTGCTGCAGGTGTAGTTACGTAGGTAGACCTGTGCTGCCGCTCGGAAGTGATGTGGTCATTGTCCTTGTGTGTGTACGTCTTACAATATTGCTATAAATATGTACATACACAGGATATCTGAAAGGAAGGTAATTTGGGTATTTTAAAATTGTACGTAAATGATACAGCAGGTTTCTGTCTTTGTATGTTGGGGCGGGGCTGTACAGAGAGTTTCAGTAACTGCCCAGCTGACCCCAAACTTGTGTGCTTCCTTCTTCAACCCCTACCCTCAGTCTCTGAGCTTAGAGGCATGCACCTCTACCACTAGCTTGTAGTTTGCTTTTGCTGTTTTCCAAGTATTCTTATTAATTCATGTTTCCTCTCAGATGTAAGTATAATCACGGCTGCTGCATAATATACCCCATCAATTTATGTGTTCTTTCACTGATAGATTTGGTCTCGATGGAGACACTAAAGCTGACAAAACCAGCGGCCAGGTTTTGCTCACCCCTTTCCTTGGGGCCCGTTAGGCTTCAGGTTCACCTGAGTTCTTCCGTACACATACTGAGGAAAGCACCTTCTCAGCCGGGCAGTGAATGTTGGCCATCTCGCGCCAAGCAGTGTTTCTTTTACCAGTGTTTGGCTTTGGCTTAGGCACGTGATGCAGACCTGATCAGAAGTACAAAAGGGGTCCTTTGGAGGACATCTGAAGGAAAGATTGGCCTCCCAGAGCTCCATCTGTGTGGATAGTAAGTGTGGAGTGGCTGTAACACCACAGCCGTTGCCTTGAGGCGCGGGGCAGCAGGACCAACCTGAGGCTAGTGAGCGTGAGCCACCCTTCTCCCAGCTCCTCCTTGTGCGCAAGTTCTCTCTCTCTCTCTTTTTTTTTTTTTAGAACCGGGGATTGAACTCAGGCCCTTGCGCTTGCCAGGCAAGCACTTAATTCTGCTGAGCTGTCTCCTCGGCCCAGCCTGGTCTTGAGCTTGCTGTGATTCCCCTGCTTCCTCTCCTGAGTGCTGACATACGGGTGTGTGCCACCATGCCTGGCCTTGGGTTTTCTTGACTGTACTTAGAACTTTCAGTTGTCAAGTCGCACACACACATGCACAATCCAGCCACTAGGGTGGTGTTTGGCTTTGAATCAAATTTTTATGTAGTTTCTGCACTTTACTGTGTTTCACTAAATCTGGCCCAATTTTGCCTTTAATGATTTCATACCCCTTCTTCCTCTGCTCATTTCAAGGAGCTATATAGTTGTATACAGTACATTTTGTCATCAGTTTTCATTGGAGAAAATTTGACTTCCATTGTGCTTTTAGCATTGGGGTGTAGCTAGAGTACTTGACATGCTTGTGGCCCTGGAGTCAGTCTCCAGAACTTGACATGCTTGTGGCCCTGGAGTCA